TTTCCTAACTTCACATGGGGTCGGTGGTCAGTCAGGTCATTTATTAATCTTTCTTCAGGTCGCTGTTGATGAAAGATATCCAAGTAAGGACAGGCTGTTAAGAAATATTTTCTCTTGTTGGACTGCCTACTTGATTAGTTTGACCACAAGGAAAATAATTCCTGTTGGACAAACAAGTTAAAATTTGACCACCAGGAAGATCCCATTTTGTCCTTAAGACTTAATAGTAATAATAAACTATTCGACTTGTTACATGCTCTTCAGGCCTTCTTATTTTTATTCTATAATATTTTTGATAATGGCTCTTACTAACAGGTGTATTGTGGGATACAGGTGGGATTTTAATTAACTTCAATTCAACAGTTTTATTTTTTTAAATGAAATCAAGAAAAATAATTATTTTCATCATGCAGTTTCAAACGTTTTTTTATTCAAAAGACGTGATGTCACCCGTCAATTAGAAATCTGCTCTGATATTTTTTTTTATTTTAGAAAGTTCATTTCAGGTTGTCGTACATTACTTTGTTGATAATCCAATTGCACGATAAATTCGTATGTAATTTATTTTATCACTGCGATTGTGTTTTTGCAATATTTTGTAACTTTATTTTTATTTTTTTATACTAAACTAAGCGATGCATTTGGATCATTATTACTACATAATTAATGATTGTTCAGAGGTGTTAATCTTGTTGAAGTTAACAAAATTAATAAACAATGAATGACTTCAAATTAAACAAATAGCTAATTTGATCTCTTTTTTTATATCAATCTCTAAAAATTGTATTTAATAAAAACGACATCGACTACTAGATGTAATAAGATTCTCAGCATTGGTATTCTGTACCCCTAGCACAAACTATTATCGAATTCGAATAGTTTAGAAAACCGAAATGTCAATGTCAAATTTTGTATGGAAACTTGAACAGCAGCGGCACAAAGTACGTAACGAGAACTACAAAAATCAGTACACATTTGATAATGACATTTCGGACTCGCAAACGTTACGAACTCGATAATGGTTCGTGCTAGGGGTACTGTAAGATACAATCTCACCAACGCTCTCATTTATTCGTATTTCTGACAAATGTCAAATATCTAACGCTACTTCTACATTGAGACATTTTGCCGTGTAATGGCGTAACCTACCATACTAATGTCTAAAATGATAGCTACCGAAATCCAAAGTGAGATTTTATTTTACAGAATCGATCATTTTAAAATACAGTTTGCTGGCGGCCCCGAGACGGCCGGAGCGGCGGCGGCGGCAGCGAAGCCTCTAAATTTGTCGGGACTCCGCACGATCGATGGCCACTAGAATAGATCGTTCTTCATTTTCACACCACAAACTGACCCCATTCTTATTCATGTTAATGTTAAATACTCAGGTATACTGTGCTAATCTTCAGTTCTATGTTCACATAAAGTTGAAACATTAACGAATCAGAAAAAGGTGTTTAGTGAACTTCAAACTACAACAGTGTAGACTAGACAATTCAAATACAAACACGAAATTCATAAAGCTGCGCCATCAGTTTGCAGGTAAATTTACTGCGAGAGACCTTGTCCTGAATAAAGAAGCGTCAATTATCCCAGTACATAACAGCTACTTCTTGTTTGCTTAAATTCATCAAAAAGGAAATATACACTAGTTATTAACTTAATTCAAAATAAAAGCAATATAGGGGAAACTACCCAATCATTGGCACTCTTCCTATTATTGGCACTTTTGAGTTTATTTCGAAAAAACCAGGAAACTATAGATTACAGGAATAATGCTGCCAATTTTCAAATTTCGAATCCCTACTAGGTTTTTCTTTTTAATATGTTTTTTCGAATTAAACTCAAAAGTGCCAATAATAGGACGAGTGCCAATGATTGGGTGGTTTCCCCTACCTATAGTTATTTTAACAATAACAATTTTCAAACCAAGTTAAACTCGTTGATTCAAAATGCTCTGTAATAATATTACAATAATTTTGTACAACATATGTAATTAGCTAATGAGCTCGCTTATTGAAAAATTAAAGTGCAGTCAGTAAAATAAATTACTACATAATTTAATTATCTATTGCAGATAACTGATACGGATACTCATTAAGTATTACAAAATGTTTTATTAAATGATTTGCATTGAAGGATTACATAATGAAATATCGCAATATATAATACATAATATACCTGATATTTTATATATATAGCTTCCAGTTTGTAGATAAAGAAAGAAGAAAGAACCCCTTAGTTTCTATTGACTTCATCTCCAAAGTCAATGTTGTTAGCGAACGACATCGTTCCGTGGCCGTCCTCGATAACTCAGAGCCAATTATGATAAATGGCATTCCAATGTTGAAGCGGTCTCCTTGTTCGACACAAGTGTTCAATGCAACATACAAAGAAAACCTTTTTGAAACATCGTCATTATCTTGCGTAACAGTTTGCGACCCGACAAATATGTTACACACATAAGCAGAATTCTTAAGATACCTACATTCATATTAAATAAAGCACAATCTTATGTTATTCGTATACAATTACGCCCTTGTTTCTTTATCAAGAATCGTGTTCTTTATACATAATACAAACATAGTTTAGTAGTTTGCATTTTTATTTCATTAATGTTAAATTCCTATCACGCGATGTTTTAGTTATGTAACACGTGTCAATTTGCTTCTTTTTTAACAAAAGAATCATCATTAGGCTGAACCTCGTGAACGGAATAAGAATTCGATGCGTTCAATTCATTACAGATGATTTGATTCATTATTACTTATAGCTGGGCGCTTCAGCAGCGTCACAGAGCTTTTCATTTGAAGACTTAATTACATTTCATTAGTCTTTTGTCGTACTAATTAACGTTCATCAGCATACAAAAAAGTTTTCTAGCTCCTTTGAGAATTTGACACAGACGATTCAGAATTGGCAATCAAAAACTTGTAATTGAATGGTAATTCGGTGGAATGGCAAATGCTGACCAAATGATAGCGGCTTATTATGTGAATTACTGCTCGTTGATGAACCCAAGCCGGTGGCCTGATGCCCTGGGACGTTAGTTCGTGACTCATAAGTTGTGACCTTTGTACGTAACAGTCGCCGAGCTGGTGTGGCATTTGAAGAATACATTTAAACGCATTGACAACTACAGGATTATTTGTAGACGTATAGTGTTTATAAAAACGGTTAGTTTATTTGCCTTTGAATCGTACTCAAGCACGGGGGAAGCTAATAATGTTGTTGTTGCGAGCGATATGTCGCGAATAGGTTTGCTTGACAAACTTTTGTGTTCACAAAGTTACTTGGTTTACCTACTTGAATAGTCTCTGAGTGATCTTTGAACGAGTTTATGTAGTAATATGATTATGAAGTATTTTTTCCAGACAATGTCATGGGGTGATAATAAATTATTATAGATCTAAATAGTTTTATTTTAGAAACCGAGAATTATGCAAGTTGTCAGAAGCGTTATTATGTTGCGCGTTATTATTGTAATAATAATTTATTAATTATTTCCCTATTTGCGCTTTAGTTTTATTATCATTATTATCATCCTATTAGCCAGAGCACACGCCTTCACTATGTCTGGAATAGCACTTATCAATCCGTACTGGAATCACGTGGTGGTCAAGGGTCTAATCTCCCTATTCCATCTATAAGGATGATGCTGTTGAATGACATCACATGCAGCCAGGACCAACAGCTTAACCTTCCTTCAGAAGCACGGAGAAGATCAAAACAAGAAATTTTTGGTCACCCATGCAAATCTTGGCAATTGCGAAAATTCCTTGACTTATGTGATCGCAGACCGATCCTGTTAACCACTGCTTTAACGAGTTCGTCATGGAGTTAGTTTTTATAGTAAAAGTCTATCAACTGACAGTACATTTTCGGAAACCGATGCAAACGGGACGGATAACATATTAGATTCCAAAGTCACTCGTGCAGTTGCGTCTCGTCATAGATGAGAGTGATTATTCATATATATCTCTCACGCTACTTCTTATATGCTCTTCCAAACATTCAAAGGATACTTGCTAGGATATATTGACGACCTCCGTGGCCGAGTGGTTTGTACGTCGGGTTTCATGGTGTCGCCGACTCGAGAGGTCCCGGGTTCGAATCCCGGTGGGGGTAGATGTTTGTGTGATGAATACGAGCATTTGTACTCCAGTCATGGATGTTTAATATGTAATTCTATATAAATATACTTAAATATGTACAGTATATGTATTGTAACCGTTACCCTAGTATCCCATAACACAAGCATTATAGTGCTTACTTTGGGGCTAGGCTAATTGGTGTGAGTGTTGGCAATTTTTTATTATTGAAGTTATACTTCTTTAGGCGCGTTATGAAAAAATGGTGAGAGTGAAATTTTAAGATGCGCGCGCATCACTGTAACACAAAATTTTACCGCTTTAGCGACCAACTTCATGCTGTTACTTTTGTGTTTACCGCACATTAAGAAAATCTACCAACAAAATAGAATCTCTATTTAGTGGGTGCTAACGACTGCATTGTGAAGGCCTATCAAAAGTATTTATTAATCTGGAACAACGGAACCAAAGCGCGATTCAGGAGACTACAGCGCCATCTCTTGACCATTGGTGTAGTAGAACCAAAAACCACATCTTTATTTTTTGTAATAAAGTAACAGTTATTATCATATTTATAATATTTATCCACATGTTTCTAGTTTGTATATTCGGAATACGTGTTTGAGTTTCATACAAGTGCAAATCACATATGTTCTAATAAATTATATTCAGTAGCGATTTTAATTGAATATTTTGATTATTTATTTATTTTTTCAAATTAAAACTGAACTTTATTGACTGTGTCCTTTTCCAGACTTTTTATTAATTTATTGTAATTAATTATTTGCATGCAATTAAAAACTAATTTTAAACGATGCCAAAGAAGGATAACTTCTCACGCGCCTACATAAGTACACGCACCTATTTTTTATTTATATGTTTTATCGTGTGCTCCCTGTTTGCCACCAGATGTACAGCGGCGCCCTGCTGGCGACGGCGGCGCGCCTGGCGTGGGACCCCAGCACGTACTCGTGGTTCCGGTTCCTGTGCGAGGCGCAGTACCGCGTGTCGTGCGCGTACGTGCTGGCCGCCGGCCTGTGGCTCGCCGGCCTCGTGTACCTGGCCGCCGCCGCCGCGCACCGCGCCGCCACACGCTGTCTGCGCCTGGTCAGTACCTGACATCAACTTCGGTGGTGTTGAGGGCCCCATATACGGAAGGATTCGTCGTTGCGATCGATTTGAAGGAAATCGTCAATCGTTTAAAAATGCCACTACATACACGAAACACTGTCGATCGATCGTTTACAATATTCATGATTGCATGGGTTTTTGTTGCGATCTCCGATATCGTCTGCGATTAAGTAAATCGTTAACGATCTTGACATACACTGTCGATCCATCGTTTCGATCGGTCTGAATCGACGGATCGTACAGATCAATCGTTCCGTATATGGGCCCCTTTATGATAAGGTTCCAGAGCCCCACCGGGTTAGTAACAAGTAGGTTTGGTATGGGAGCGACAAGCCTGTATTGCACTGGTTCCTGTGATGACAGTTCCTTTGATGCTCCGGAGCACCGCTATCGTGGGAATGGGTTCGTTCAGGGACAATCACCGGCTTAACAGGGTGTAAGGACCAAAATTGCACTCTAGGCACGCATTCTGGGGATCCTGGAGCTGGACAAAGGAATTATGCGTTTCCCAGAGGTTATGGAATTGGTTCGTTTGGGATGTCGTGATGTTGGAGCGCACATTTTACTGCCGCCTTCCGCCGGCTATCATAGCGACTGGGCTCCACTTGTACTGAACATCAGGTGGCGTGAGATATTTTGCTACGTTTCGTTTATGAAACAACACCTACTCCATGAAGTTCTAGAAATTTGGCTCAAAGAAATTTGAGGAATATCTGCTGTAGATTAAAGTGCATACTCAGTGAGGTTCATGGTTGTCAACGTTGGCTAGATCATTGTATAATGACTGAAGCAGCATATCAGTCATTCTTAAATGCCAGCATTTTATATGATGTTTATTGGTCGGACCATTTACCATTAATGATTGTTTGTGATTTTAATATGATAAGAACAAAGACAACCTATACTAAATTAGAATTTAATAATAATAATGTGATCTGGGGTGAACGTGATGCTAGTCAAATTGAATTATATAGTGCTTTTTGTAACAATAAGCTTAAACAAATAGATTTTCCTCTAGAATTGAATGATTGTAATAGTAAAATCTGTGATAATATAAGACATAGAATAATAATTGATGACATGTATAAAAATATTATTAATGTACTTTCTGACGCTGCAAAGAATAGTTGTAAGACTGAATTTAATCAAAAAAGACGAAAATATATTATTGGATGGAACAAGCATGTTAGTGATGCTCATAGGGAGGCTCGGCTTGGTTTTCAATTATGGGTACAATATGGAAAACCTAGAGATGGGTTAATTTATCAAAAAATGAATGAGACAAGAAAAGTTTTTAAAAGAAAATTAAAGTGGTGTCAGGATAATAAAGATCGCATCCGTATGGACATAATTGCATCTTATCATACTGATAAGAATTTCAGTAAGTTTTGGAAAGAAACCAACAAATTGAACTCTAGGCCGGGGTTGCCTGTGAGTGTTGCTGGTGCTAATGAGCCTAAGGACATAGCAGATTTATTTAAAAATAATTTTGGACTTGTATCACATTTAAACTGTCAGACTTGTGTGTTCAATTACAACTAAATGAGACAGATATACAAATTATTTTTACTGCAAAACAGGTTACAGATGTTATTAAAAATATGGTTAGAGGTAAATCTCCAGGACACGATGGCCTCAGTGTCGAACATCTGCGTTTTGCTGGAGCCCACCTGCCTAGACTTCTGGCTATGCTATTTTCTCTATGTATCAAGCACTCATATATTCCGATTGAAATGATGAAAACTATTGTTGTGCCAGTAATTAAAAATCGAACAGGTGATGCTTCCGACATGGGCAATTATAGACCCATCTCCTTGGCTACCATAATAGCTAAAGTGCTGGACAGTTTGCTTGAGGCACATTTGAATAACCACCTGAACTTGCATGATGCCCAATTTGGTTTTAGACCAGGGCTGTCTACTGAAAGTGCAATACTGTGTGTCAAGGAAACTGTCAAGTACTATACAAAGAGGAAAACACCAGTATACGCTTGCTTTCTTGATCTCTCAAAAGCGTTCGATTTGGTGTCTTATGATGTTCTGTGGCGGAAGCTGACATGTGAGACCACTGTACCAAGGGAGATAATATTTCTTCTAAGGTATTGGTACAGGAACCAAATAAATTATGTGAAATGGGCAGGGGCTCATTCTGACGGGTATGGCTTAGACTGTGGGGTGAGGCAGGGGGGGATCACCTCCCCATTGCTCTTCAACCTGTATATGAACCGCCTTATAGTCGAGCTCAGTGGTACCAAGGTCGGTTGCCATATAGGTGGTGTCAGTGTCAACAATATAAGTTACGCTGATGACATGGTACTACTGAGCCCTTCGATAAGGGGGTTGAGAGTATTATTGAGTAAGTGTGAGTCTTATGCGGTGGCCCATGGACTCAGATATAATACTACCAAGAGTGAGATCATGGTTTTTAATCTCTGTACATCTCAATGGAAAGCAATTAAATAGGGTATCTCATTTCAAAGGTCACTGGCTCACTGAGGACTTATGTGACAATATGGACGTGGAGAGGGAAAGGAGGTCACTGGCAGTCCGATGTAACATGTTGGCTCGGAGATTTGCGCGAAGTACTTTAGAAGTGAAATTGACTTTATTTAAATCATACTGCCAATCATTCTACTCGTGCGGTCTCTGGGTTGACTGTACGCAGAGGGCTTACAGCGCTTTACGTGTGCAGTACAACAACGCGTTCCGGGTGCTGATGGGGCTGCCGCGTCGCAGTAGTGCTTCTGGCATGTTCGCTGAGGCAAGGATCGATGGATTCCATGCCATTATCCGAAAGCGATGTGCCTCGCTACTGAGTCGGGTGCGCGCCAGCCCCAGCAGCATCCTGTGCGTGTTGTCGGACAGGTGGGAGTAGCCTTTACTCCAACATTGGGTGGGCCTCCATATAAGAGATTAGATAATTAAATTGAAATGTATTACTAACATAGATTAAGGAAAAATGTTACTAACAAAAAAAAACTATGGACACTTTAGTCTGAAATAAAATTTTATTATTATTATTATATTATACTGATGTTCAAGATAGATGAAACGAAGAAGATCCGACCGACTGCGGCCGATAAAATCAGATTGTTTTATGAACGTTATACATTTTGTCACTTTAAATATTGTGTTATAATGGAAAACATTCAAACAGTTCGATTCTTCTTCTATTCTTTGGTCTGTTACGGTAACATATGTATTATCACTAATCTAGGAAGACTAGGTACAGCATTTTTGGAGTTTACTCCTTAAGAATCGATTTGTATATATAAGGGGCCCGGTATGAGAAAAATGTGAGGAGTAAAATCTATCGATGAATGACCTCGTTACGTTTTTGGTGCGCATCCTTTGTCGTGCAACTTTGACAAACAAAGATGACGGATTGACATTAATATTTTTTTTAAAATCTGTACTGAATTTAGATATTGTTTCTGATAAAGCAATGGGGACAACGAGGTATGGTACAACCATTGATGCGGTATTTTCAAGATTCGTGAACCACGTATCTACGAACGTCCATGTGTCTTATTTTAGTTACCATAAACCACTTGTCACTGTAATTAATAATGCAGACAATGTTGATTAAATTAATATTTAAAAAAATTATAATAGTCTGATAATAATAATTACATAATTTATCAACATTCCTAATGATATATTTATGCACATCTGAAATTGACTATTGTAAAAAGTTTAATGTAAAATATTTCCTCGATTAGTTATAATAAATGAATAAGAAATGAATAAATATATATTTATACTAGCTGACCCAGCGAACTTCGTACCGCCCTAAAAAAATAGGGGTTGTCCAGCGGACATAATTGTGAATCTAAACCATTCTCAGATCCCCTTGAACACACACAAAAAATTTCATCAAAATCGGTCCAGTCGTTTAAGAGAAGTTCAGTAACATACACACTCACAGAAGAATTATATATATAAAGATATGTATATTATTTTCATTAATTTGTTAATTTTCCCTTTTATACAGTATCAATCTTTTTTAAGTTAAATAAACTCTTTTTGCGTCTGGTTAGACTATCGAACTTAAGGAGTAAACTCCAGTCGTGCGTCGGAGCTGACACACACAATTTTTTTTGTGTCAGTAACTGGAGCCCTTTACATCTGCTTATTCCGGACACTTGGTGCGTTAACATGATATGCGCTTTACAATGATCGCAGTAATGTCGCTTGTCAGATTAGCCATGCGTGGACGGACGTTTGTTTGCGCGTTGTACGCCTCGCAGCATCAGGTTTCTTATCATTCGCAGAGGTTTCCTGGTTAGGGTAATCGCTCACTAGATCCACTGTTTCTTGCGCTGATTGTTTGATGAACTCCGTGGCCGATTGGTTTTTACGCCGGGTTTCAAGGTGACGCCTACTCGAGAGGTCCTGGGTTCGAATCCCGGTGGAGGCAGATGTTTGTGTGATGAATACGAGCATTTTTACTCCAGTCATGGATGTTGAATATGCATTTCTTTTTAAATATACTTATATATGTATCGGTCATATGTTTTCTAACCGTTACCCTAGTATCCCATAAGATAAGCTTACTTTGGGCCTAGGCTAATTGGTGTGAGTGTTAGAAATATCTATTTTTTTACCGCTGACTCAACAAGGGTGCCTCGTTTGCCGACAGTAGTTCACGTATGGACGCCTCGTTACTGCCAATGAACTTTGTTAGGTCACCGATTGTACGTCGTGGTCTCGTGGGGCCGTCCCGCGATATCACGGTTCATGGGCGTTAGTAATTTTCGATCATTAAAATTAAATAATTGCAGCAGCAAGTGTAAGCCAGCAGTGTGTTGTTTTCACTATCGAGGGGTCCACTTGCCTACCACTTAGTTCACTGGAGTAATCAGTTTCCGAGCGAAGCAGCTGGACGATCCTATAAAATTCATGTAGTGAGCTCACGTTCAGTCCATATAAGTTTCACTAACCGCATGAGGCGTGGCGTCGCTATTCGATTGCCGG